GTAACACATTGAAATATTGGTCACAGACCCATAAAAGTATATATATTCTGGGTCCTCATTAAATTATAAGACGATCTAGCTATGTCCGTCCGTCTGTCTGTTGAAATCACGATAGGGACCACACGAGAGGATCTAGACTAATGAAATTTTGTACAAATATTCTCTATTGCTAAGGTTTGTTTGGTATTGAAAATGGGCAATATCGGTCCACTTTTTCGGATAGCCCCCATACAAGTGTACCTCCAAAAAACAGCTTTAACGGGCATAACTGATTTAGAAGTACGAGTATAGCTATGAAATTCTACATAAATAAGTTCCATATAAGCCAAAATCTTTCTACTAATTTTTTTGAGGATCGGTCCATAATTGACCCAACCCCCCATATAAGGTCCTCTTTAGAAAATTACTTTAACACTCATTCTGAAAATGACTTTAACACTCATTACTGGCCAACAAATGCGACTATAGCGATGAAATTCGGTATATGTATGTTTCTTACGAACCAAAATCGCTCTACCAATTTTTTTTAAGATCGGACCATAAATGACCCTACCCCCCATATATGGTCCCCTTCTGAAAATGACTTTAACGCTCATTACTGGCTAAAAAATACGAATATAACAATACAATTTTACACAATTAAGTTCCTCGCGAGCCAAATTCTCATTAACAACTTTTATGTGGATAAGTCTATAATTGACCTTACTCCTCCTATTGGGTCCACTTCAGGAAATGGCTTTAACACTCATTACTATCTTAAAAATACGAGTAAAGCGATGAATTGCGACACACATAAGTTTCTTACGAGCCAAAACCTCTGTACCAATTTTTTTTGGATCGGCCCATAAATGACCCTTCCCCCATATAAGGTCCTCATCTGCAAATGACTATAATGCTCATTACTGGCTTAAAAATATGAATATAGTGACGAAATTTTACACACATAAGTTTAATGCGATCCAAAATCTCTCCACCAAATTTAGGGAGGATCGGTCCATAATTTACCCTACCACTTTAACGCTCATTACTGGTTAAAAAATTCAAGTATAGCTATAAAATGTGACACAAAATCTCTCTACCAAATTGTATGTGGATCGGTCCATAATTGACCCTACCCCTATACAAGGTCCCCTTCAGAAAATAACTCAAACGATCATTACTGGCTTAAAAATATGAGTTATGAAATACGGTTATGAAATTCGCTCCGAATTTCATAAGTAATACCAGGTTCAGGACAGACACCACGAACTTCAGGTTGCTTACAGATTGGTAAATATATTATATACGAATCTGTTTAAATCTCTGAGAATATTTGTGAATGTGTTAAGAGCATATGAATAAATTGAGCCACAAATTTCTACAAATAATTATTATGCATTCACTCGAAAAATACTTGAGGCAGATACATAAAATAGTAGGTAAATACAAAGTTCTTAACCAGGGTAAAAATGAAAATTTATTAAATAATTTAATCCCTTACTTAGCTCGTTATATTATAATGTCTATACAGGAAAATTGAATATTTTTCAAATAGATTAAATAAAATCAAAATATCTTGCCATTTTTATCCTGGTAACTTGTTTTATAACAGCACTGAGAATATTGTTAATGAAAATGATGAAGTATAAACTTTAATGGAATATTACAAATTTAATTATAAAAGTTTATTTTTTTTATTTCGTTATTTTTAACACATTTAAGCAGGTTTTGTGCCACATTAATTTTAACAATGCTCTCAAATTAAAGGAAACTGCATACAAAAAAAGTAGAAAATATTAAATTTAATGGTCACTTTGTTTTAACGTATCCGAAAAAATAAAACAAAAGAGAATAAAAAAAAATTACCATGATTTCAATGAAGTTCTTAAATCTTGAACTAATACTTGTTACAAGTATATTTTTCTCTTTTGTAACGATAAAAACGAGAAAGATGAGAGTATATAAAAGATATAAACGTATCTGTCACATTAATCCTGACCATTTGTCAACCAACATTTTTGTCAAGTTCCAGTTCTTTTTTGTTTTATTTCGTTGCAAAACGCATTTGTTTGTTGTAAGAGGATTCGATAATTGCTTTAAGAATCATCTACAAACTGGCAATTCATGTAATACTTGGCATTTGAGCATGTACGTATGTATGTATTTGTGTCTGTTGCGTAGACAATATAGCAATAAAGATAACAAAAAGGCAGCAGCAACAAAAAGGAATTTTATTTCAAAACTAAAAAAATACACAATAGCAAAAATTGAAATGCTTATATGCATGTATGTGTGTTTGTGTGAAAAAAAAATTACAGCAAAGCTTGGGTAAGGCTAAAAAAAACTTAAAATTGAAACGGAAATTGTTTGGCGATTGACTGATGTTTACCAAGATAAACGGTTTTAGAAAAGCTTTGTGTACATTCTTAGTTTACAAAAAAATAATAGTTTATTTTGTCCATTTATCTTTATATCGAGTGGCAAACATAAACGCACATATTGTATATACCATATAGATACATACATGAAATTGCTGACGTTTCCGCCGAAAATTAAAATCTAGTTCATCTTGTATTTCATAACATCCTTTGAGTAAAATATGAAAAAAGAATTAAAAATTTACATTTTTAACATTAGACCCAGCTTAAAAATATTGACCCAGTACAGAAAAGTATTTTCCATACAAACGAGTGCCACCCTAATGTACACACATTCATACATATATGCAAAAATATTTCGAAATTACTACAGAAAAGTATTGCAGATAGAAAGAGTTTTTGGGAAATTTTCTTATACATATCCACATCTACAAAAACGTTTATACAAAATTTCTAAGATATTTATGCCAATTGGAATGGTTTGCTGGTTTAGGTCTTACATGAGGATCATCAAACAATTTTGTTATACTTTTGATAATGTTTCTTTATTATTGGGCGATCGGTCGGTAGAAAAATTTAGAATTATTATATACGCCCTATCCATAAAATTGTTTTTTGGAATAATATAAATACGAAAAAATTATTTATGTGGGATTTTTTTCAATATCTTTATTTATCAGAATATAAAATTTTTAGCACTATCGGAAATTTGTACATTTTGGTCATACAGGATTTTATTCAAATGAGTGTAACTTTCCACCTATTAGTCCTAGCAAAAATTGTCTAAAGATTTTTCTTCATTGTTTCCAAAAAAATTGTTTTAAATTTATTTTTTTTTTGCTCAAAGAAAAACTAAGACCATTTCCTTTAAGGGCTTTATAGTCCCATAATGAGATGCTAGTGGGATATCTATCAAAAATTTATTTTTTAACTTAAGAATAATATTTTTTCAATATTTGGCACCTAATTTTTCCCAATTTTTTCAAAATTGACGTTTTTTGCTTTTGTTTTACTCAAATGAAAGCTTAGACCATTTTCTTTAAGAGCTTTGTGGTCACTTAGTGGAATTCAAGTGCAATATCTTTAAAAAAATTAACACAAAAAGCAATGTTTTTATGTTAAAATATTATTTTTTTACATATGCCCCTTGCATCCCACTAACTGACCACAAAGCTCTTAAAGAAGATATTCTAAGCTTTGTTTCGTCCATTTTGAAAAAATAGAGGAAAATTAAGTAGCAAATATTGAAAAAATCTTATTCTTAAGTTAAAAAATAATTTTTTTGCAAAAAATAAAAAAAAATATTTAAAAAAAATTTAATTAAAAATTTTGTTTTTGGAAACTATGAAGAAGCTATTCGAACTTCTAGGACCAATAGGTGAAAAGTTACAATCAGTTAAATAAAACCCTGTATGACCAAACTATCCAAATTTTCCCCTCTAACTCCGAAATTTTCCCCTCTGACCGAAAGAAAATTTGTATCTGGCTTACTATTTAATAGTACTAATATTGGTGCAAATTTCATCGAAAAGACATCGATTTTAAAAGTTGAGTCACTTGACACGAAATTACTCATTACAGAAATTATATTTATTTCGATTTTTATACATTACACCACTTTAGTGGGGAGGGTATATTGGGTTTGTACTGATGTTTGTAACGCTCAATAATATTGGTCTTATACCCACCTTAAAGTAAAGAAGAATCATTTTCTGAGTCGATTTAGCTATGTCCGTCCGTCCATGTAAACCTTTTAATCAAACTACAGGTCGCAATTTTGAAGACAATTCAATGAAATTTGGCACATGCTCTTCTATGATACCGGAGACGAAGTCTAGTGAAAATGGTTGTGATCGGTCCATTATTTCACCTAGCCCCTATACACAGAAAAAACTGAAAATGTGTTTTAATTATCAAATTGATTGTATCAAGCAAGTTTTGCACCTATCAACAAAATGATGATATCAATTATTAAATTTGTAAAAAAATATTTTTTTCCAATTAAAGATAGATATTCATCTATAGTGGATAGACGTGTTTTAAATCGCTCTCACAGGAAAATAACATTGTGAATATAAATTCTTAATAAAAATATAAAAAAAGATAAGTAACAGCGAATGGACGCTAATTAAATACATACTTATTTATTTTTAATATTAAAAATACATTTAAATTAAATAAATTGTCGTTTTTGTTAATGCAATTATTAACAAAACAATTTATAAAAAAAGCAAAAAGTATACAAAAAGAAAAAATAACAACAAAACCTTAAATAGAGTGTAGTGTGTGTTATTGTGCATGAGTTTCTCTAACTCTCCAACAAGTGAAAGGAGGCTCAGTAGCAATGGAAAAAATGCATACTTTGTTATGAGCTCTCCATGCAACAACAACAATAATTATGATCCAAAAAATCATAAAAACTATTTAAGTGTAAGAACAACAACAAACGAGAGATCTCCTCTCTCAAGTGCGCCAAAACAGAACAATTGTGTAGATAATAGCGCAAAAGAAAAAATAAATAAACAAACAACAGATTCAAAAACAACAACAAACGAGAGATCTCCTCTCTCAAGTGCGCCAAAACAAGACAATTGTGTGGAAGACAAAGCAAAAGAAAAAATAGATAATCAAACAACTGATTCAATGGTTGATGTAAATAGTAATGCTAATGTGAACAATATCACAAATAGTACCAATAACAATATTAACACTGTGAAAACCATTAATGATAAGGAGGGTCACTCAAGCCCAATGTCAAAGAATACTGGTGCCATACCAAAAAATACTCCAAATTTATTGAGCTCGCATAAAACGCAAAAGATCCAAACGGGAATGGACCGTTATGTCACATATGCAAAACGTAAGTCCAGCCCTAGGACTTCAAAATTGGAACCAAATCCAAAACAAGCGAAAACAAATTCCGTAAGTCAAAATCGTTTTGCACTGCTTGATAACCAAGAAAGTGAAAAAGTACCATCTATGACTTTAAAAGACCAAAAGCCACCTCCCCTCTATTTGCGCGAACCTACCACCAATCTATTGGTAAATAAGTTGTCCCAACTTGTAGGCAAAGAAAATTTCCATGTAGTCTCTCTACGGAAAGGAAATATTCAGGAAACAAAAATACAGACTTATTCAGAAAAGTCTTTTAGAACAATAGTTGATAGTTTTGATTCTGAGAAAAGAAATTATTACACGTATCAACTAAAAAGTGCAAAGGGTTTGACAGTAGTTATCAAAGGTGTAGACAGCTCTGTACCAACTGATGACATTAAAAAGGCGCTAGAGTCTGAAGGTTATGAAGTGAAGTCCATTCACAATATATTTAACAAGGACAAAATTCCCCAACCAATGTTTAGAGTTGAAATTACTTTTAACTCTTCACAATTGAAAAAAAAGGGTGATACTCATCCAATATACAGTTTAAGATATCTTCTCAATCGCAAAATAACTGTAGAGGAACCCATTAAGCGCAGAGGTCCTCCTCAATGCCTAAATTGCCAAGAGTTCGGTCACACCAGAACTTTCTGCAAATTACCATCTGTTTGTGTGAGATGCGGAGACATCCATAAGAGTCAAGATTGTCCTTACCCAAAAACAGATAACAATAAAAGAAAATGCAGTAACTGTGGTCAAAATCACACTGCTAACTATCGCGGATGTCCAGTATATCTACACATCCAACAATCAAACAAGGCCAGAAGACCTTTATATGCTCAATATAAAGCTTCTAACTTCCCAAGCCTTCCTAATACTTCTAGTGCTCAATATAGAAGTATCACAAATAAAAGCAATCAGAATAAATCGTATGCCCATACGACAAAAGAGGGTTCCGTTACCCAAATGAATGCAAATCAAACTTCTAGTGCCCAATATAGAAGTCTTACAAATAAGAATAATGAGAATTTGCAATCAAACAATGAAAATAATGCCCCATTATTTTCATATGCACATGCATTAAAAGAGGGTGTGCCTGCACCCGAAACAAATTCTCAAAGCTCTATTGAGAATCTAATTCAAACCATGAACAGTTTCATGGCAAATATGCAAAATATGTTTCAACAATTAATGCAGAATCAAAGCATGCTCATGCAGATCCTGCTAAATAAAAAATGAATTCTCTAAGAATTTGTTTTTGGAATGCTAACGGCCTTAGCCAACACAAGAATGAAGTAGAACAATTCCTGCTACTTCAGGAAATTGACGTACTACTCGTCTCTGAAACACACTTTACCCTAAAGAATTGTTTCAGAATTAATGGATACTACACTTACGATACAAAACATCCAAGTGGCAGAGCCTGTGGTGGAACAGCCATTTTAGTGAGAAAAAATATTAGACATTTCCCAATGCCAGAATACAAAAAGGACCATATCCAGGCCACCTCTATAAATATACCTGATAGTCGAGTTACAATATCTTCAATATATTGTCCTCCTAGGTATAATGTTAATCGAGAGCAGTTTCTCGAATACTTTAAAACTCTTGGCCCAAGATTCATAGCAGCTGGTGATTATAATGCAAAACATACATTTTGGGGCTCTCGCCTCATTACTCCCAAAGGCAGACAATTGCTAGAAGCAATATCGTACAACAGACTAGATGCCATATCTAGTGGCCAACCTACCTATTGGCCTACAGACCTCAATAAGATTCCCGATCTAATTGACTTTGCTGTAATCAAAAATATAAAACGAGAATTTATTTCAGTGATCCCTTCATTGGACCTCTCGTCAGACCACTCGCCTACAATTTTAACGTTATTAGAAACCCCAAATAAATTGGAAAACCATTGTTCTTGTTTCCCTAACAAGAAAACGAACTGGTTAAAGTATAAAATGTATGTTAGCTCACACCTGCCACAAAACATTTCATTGAAGAATGACCATGAAATACAATTCGCTGTCGATATATTTACGGATATCTTACAAGATGCTGTCAAAGTGTCTACACCCCCAGTCACCTTGGGAGACTTCAAAAAATCGAAATGTCCTAGGAACATTGAGTCTCTTATTAAAGAAAAGAGAACACTCAGACGTCAATGGCAACAATCACGATCTCCAAACATAAAGGTTAAACTTAATCAGTGCCAAAGAAGACTTCGCATCGCTTTAAAGGATAATAAGGAATCTAATCTGAGAAATTATCTCAAAAACTTAGACCCTACTAAGAAAACAGAATATAGTCTCTGGAAAGCTGTTAAAAATATGCAGTGCCCTATTGCATATGAGTCACCTATACGCCTTCAGAATGGTCAATGGGCAAGAAATACGTCAGAAAAAATTGAAGCATTCGCCAATCACTTGGAGAATGTGTTTACTCAAAATGATACAGATTCTTCTATTAGTGCTAACATTATAAATAATGTGGTTCCACACCCAATAAAATTCCGGTTCTCTACCGTGAAGATGACAATCAAAGGTCTAAAGGCAGGAAAATCACCTGGTATAGATAAAATTACTACCACGATGATAAGTAACCTGCCCAATTCAGCACTGAGAATTATTTTGTTCATCTTTAACTCGATGCTACGTATTGGATACTTCCCTAACTCATGGAAAGTATCCGAGATTGTTATGATACCAAAACCGGGGAAAGATGTCACTCAAGTGACATCATACCGTCCCATTAGCCTGTTGTCTTTATTCTCAAAACTTTTTGAAAAGTTATTGCTTGAAAGCCTTTTAGTACACTTTAACGATAATTGCATTATTCCTGGCCATCAGTTTGGTTTCAGAAGAAAGCACAGCACTATCGAACAGGTACATCGAATAACAACTCTTATTCGAAAGGCCTTCGAGAGCAAGCAATATTGCTCTGCATTATTCATAGATATTTCTCAAGCTTTTGATAAAGTCTGGCACGATGGACTAATACACAAAATTATCACATTACTACCTGCGAATGTTCACAAACTGCTTAAAAATTACATATATGAAAGATCTTTTCAAATCAGATCTAAAGATGTGATCTCTTCACGTCGAAAAATATCTGCTGGAGTACCCCAGGGGAGTATTCTAGGTCCGCTCCTATATATTTTATATACTGCAGATATGCCAACGAGCGCACTGACTCACACATCTACATTTGCGGATGATACCGCTTTTGTAAGCATGCATGCAAACCCTTCAATAGCTTCTGAACAACTCCAGTTTCACATCGGCGAATTGGAAAAATGGCTGGACAAATGGAAAATAAAAGTCAATGCTACAAAATGTACTCACGTTACATTTACTTTAAGAAGGGAAAATTGTCCTCCCGTGCAGATAAACAATATAAAAATTCCTGAACAAAGCCATGTGAGATATCTTGGTATCCACCTTGATCGCCGCTTAACATGGACTCACCACATTGAAGCCAAGGTTACACAAATAAAATTAAAGTCAGCTCAATTGTACTGGCTAATTGGACCACGGTCTGCTCTAGACTTGGAGTACAAAGTGCTTTTGTACAAAACAGTTATAAAACCGATATGGCTATACGGCATTCAACTGTGGGGAACAGCCTCCTCATCAAATGTTGAAAAATTACAAAGAAAGCAGTCAGCACTGTTAAGGTCAATAACAGGTGCCCCGTGGTACATTCGCAATAGTAATATTCATAGGGATCTCAATGTCCCCATAATACGCGAGGAGATCAAACTCTCTTGTTTAACCTACCTGTCGAAACTAATGGATCACCCAAATCCCCTTGCCAGGGAGTTGCTGTCATTTGAGGGTCACAGACGACTGAGAAGAACGGAAACATTGGATTTTGCCAGATAATCAAATTATCGAGAACTTTTGTTGAAATTGCAGTGGCAATAACGACGTTAGTTATAGTTTAGGTTAAGATTTCAATACTTATTGTAAATTTCTATGTAAGAAAGATTCAATAAATAATAACTAAAATGAAAAAAAAAAAAAAAAAAAAAAAAAAAAAAAAAATTAAAGAAATAATCAAAACAATTAACATCAGTAATTAAATTCAAAATTTAAAATTAGTTAATTCATTAATTGGATAAATTAAATATTTAATAAAATAAAACTTACATATTAATTAGTTTATTAATTTATCAATTTATTTGAACAGTTTGGTTAAAAATGTATTAAAAATCAATAAAGTCGAGGATTGAAACAATCAAAGCATTAATTGAATGCTTACAACATTAAAGGATTCCTTTACCTTTAACAATGCGTTAAGCACTCTCAAAAATATCTCTTTATTGTCACATTTTAACAAATAAAGTGATTTATAAATTTTAAAATATTTATGAAACTTCAACTTCTTATGCCTAAAATATTATTGACTATTTGAGAATTATTTTCCGTTATAAATAATGAAATTATTTAAATAAAATATCAAAACAAAAAACCAAAATAAAAAAGTAGGCTGGAAAAACTTTTGCAGCCAATTAAAAAATTAATTGATTCAATTAAAAGTTTAATCAAATTTGTATACTTAGGATCAAAACAATGAGATAATTATGACAGTTAAAAAATTGTTTAAATAAAAGTTAAAGAAAGAGGAAAACATGTTAATTGAAAATAAACTACCGATAATTTTTTCTGTGTAAAACTGAACTGCTGAATAGGGCTTGTAAACCTTTTAATCAAACTACAGGTCGCAATTTTTAAGATAATTCAATGAAATTTGGCACATGATCTTTTATGGTGCCGAAGACGAAGTCTATTGAAAATGGTTAACATCGGTCTATTATCTCACCTACCCCCCATACAACTGAACCCTCGAAAAGGGCTTGTAAACCTTGTAATTAAACTACAGGTCGCAATTTTGAAGATAATTCAATGAAATTTGGCACATGATCTTTTATGGTACCAGATACGAAGTCTATTGAAAATGGTTAACATCGGTCCATTATCCCACCTAGCCCCCATACAACTGAACCCCCGAATAGGGCTTGTTTTGAAGATAATTCAATGAAATTTGGCACATGATCTTTTACGGAGACGAAGCCTATTGAAAATGGTTAACTTCGGTTCATTATTTCACCTAGCTCCCATACAACTGGACCCGACGAATAGGGCTTTTAAGTTCATAATTATGTTTAATATACTCGTATCTCTACAAAATGCTGCAAAATCAAGTTCAACACTAGCCTTGATGACCCTCATGAATTTTATAATTATAGGGTCTCATTTGACCATAGCTCCTACAAACATTTTGAGAACTGGTATCTTACAATGTATCAAACTTTCATTTTCGGTGAGAACTTCAGTACCTTATTTTTTCCCCATTTGAACGGGGCCACCCTAATGTACATATATATCGCTCATTTACTGCAAGATTGGTATAATCCCAAATTCGTTATACTTAAGCATAGATTTGTCAAATTTCAAATATGTCTATTATTTTCGATGTGATATTTTTTCTATTTAGATAAACAACAACTTTTTGAATCTGGTTTCATTTTTCAAATTTCCTCTTTCGTTTAAAAGTTATTTAAAAAAATAGTAAAATGTCACACATTCAAAGCCATTTTTCTCGAAACGTTTTTTTTTTTGATTAATCCGGTCTTGTAGTAAATGAGCGATATATGTACATATCTATCTATCTATTTAAAATATTCCCATTAAAATGTTCATACCTCTAAAAGCAACCATTACCCGTGAAATAAATTACTTTTACAGATACCTATTTGATTTTAGTTAAAAAGTAATTTTCTTTTATATTTATATAAGTATATTTATATTTATTTAGTTAGTTCTTTGTTTTTTTTCACATTTTTGCAATTATCGCTGAATGTATGATTTCTCTATCTTATTCCATATTTTCGTTTTATTTTGGTTTGTAAATAAATATTTACATTGCAAATGGTAATGGAGAATTTACCTGAAATAACCAGAACCATACAGGTTTCTGTTAAAACACATAAAATCAAAAATAAATAAAAAAACTTAACTTTAGCGCTATAAAGAAAAGAATAAATAATAGCGAACGAAAAATTTTTATTTTGATAAGAATTCGCTGAATTACAAATAAATCCGAAATTATGAAAAACTAAATAAAAACATTTCATTCGTTATTTGTTTGTTTTTTGGTCTTATTCACATTTTGCCATAGTTTTTCTTTAACAAAAATGTTACAAAATGTGAATAAGAGTAAGTATAGTGAGATAAGATCGACTATATAAAATACCCTATTTAAGGTGAAATGTATAAGAAATTTTGTTTGCTAACTTGTAATCCGAGGTTTAAGTTAACCAAAGGATTGACGCACTTTGTTAAATCATTTGTCTTAGTATAATTCAAGATGTATGTATGTATGTGTGTGTGTGCAATACCTTCATTAATAGAGTAGGGTATAAAAATTATAAATAAAGTTTGTTTTTCTTCAATACTACAACAGCTACAAGTACGTGAACTACTACGACTACTGCTACCTCAACATGCTCAAATTCAGGGCAACATTAAATTACTTGGCTTAAAGGTAAATCGAGCGGAAGTACCAAACAACTAAGAAAACAACAGGAATATTAAAAAAACAATTCTAGTGTGCTACATAGCGATACATGTTGGAGCAAGGAGCATTTTGTATATGAAAATATAATAAATACGCTTTAGGAAAATGCGACTTCTGTGGGTGCTACTACTGTATATAGTTAACAATTGTACAATTTTTTGATGAATTTTGAAACATTATTAAAACTCTGAACAATTCAGACATTTCATTTAAATTTCTCCGAATAATAAAGTTTTTGCAACTATAACAGTTAAATTAAAAAAAAATATATATATGTATATTTATAATTTTTTTAAATAATGTTACATTTTTTTCTAAAACAAACAAATATTAAAATGGTTATTTTAGCCAACATAAAAATATAAGAACAAGAAAAAAATGTAATAAAAAGTTTATTTCAACCTTTACTACAACTACTCAAACTGCGATTATTTTCAACTAACTGCGCTTTTATGCAACTTGTTATATGAATTCAAATAAAAAACGGGACTGAGGCAAAAACTCCATAAACACAACAACAAAAACAAAATGTTTTTCAGTATAAAACTACCAGCAGACATGGTTGCACAAACGTGCATGAGTACATGGTAAAAAAATTTAAGCTTTAAATGTTATCCTTAATTTTAAGCAGCAGATCCTTTCCTTAATTTTTTTCTCCAATTAATATTATTAATTTTTAAAAACCTATAGCTCTCAATTTTATTAAAATCCCTTAAATAATTTTTAAGTAATTTTATCAGTGTAGCCTTATATCGACTTAGCGTAAATAAAACTGGTACAAAAGTGTTGAGAAATGTTCTTGCGATAAGAATAGGAATTTTATGCTGATGTTTGATTATGCACAAATATAATATTGTTTGTGTTGTTGCTATTGTTATTACATGCTTGCCAAATCTAAGGTCTCTAATAAACAATCAATTTCATAATCCTTAGTAATAATATCATATTATACATGACAGTTTCATATTACAAAATTTTATAGTATTTTCATAAAACAAACAAGTAAGAGTGTTCGGCTGAGCCGAATCTCATATACCCACCATCAAACCGTATGCCATAAAATGAATGCTACCCTAACATCATGATCACTCATCAAATTAACGGACCGCTTTATAATACAATTTTTTTAGATCGATTTTGGTTCATATAAACATGATTACATCGAATAGCATCGCTGTACTCGCATTTTTATGTCAGTAATTAACGCTAAAGCAATTTTCTGGAGGCAGCCTTATATGGGCGGGTACGGTAAGTTACCGACACTTTCCGCATGAAATTCGGTAGGAAGATTTAACTTTCCATAAAAGTTTCTTATATTAAATTTCATAACTGTACACGTATTTTGAAGCCATATATGGGGGAAGGGTCAAACATAAAATGTGGTAGAGAGATTTTTGGTAGTAAGATACTTACTTATGTCAAATTTCATCGCTATATTCGTAATTTTAAGCGAGTAATGATTAACGCTCATTACTCGCTTAAAATTTCTGAAGGGGACCTTATATGGGGGTTGGGTCAATTATGGACCGATCCTCATAAAATTTGGCAGGAAGTTTTTGGCTCATATAAGACTTATTTATGTTAAATTTCATCACTATAGTTACACTTTTAAAACATCAAAAAATTTTTTGTATACCAAAATTACTCATACGCTCACGGTTTAAAAATTTGTTGCTATACCCTCCACCACCATCAGTGGTGATATAGGGTATATATAACTTTGTCATTTCGTGTGTAACACCAAGAAATATTCATCTGAAACCCAACAATGTATATATATTCTGGGTCCTTATCAAATTCTGAGTCGATTTAGCTATGTCCGTCTGTGTGTGTAAAACACGCTCACGATAAAACGAAGCAATGGAGTTTAACCAAATTCACCCAAAATGTTCTTCATTTTCCTAAGTTGTTTGGTATTGAAAATGGGCAATATCGGTTCACACCGGCAAAAATAAAATATTACTGTGAAAGTTTTTTTTCGATCGGTCCATAATTGGTCATAGCTCCCATACAAGGTCCCCTCCCGAAAATCACTTAAATGCGCATAACTCATTACTAAATTAAGATATCCATATAAAATTTGGTACATGTATTGCTTATATGCACAGAAATATTACTGAGAAATTTTTTTCAGATCGGTCCATAACTGGTCATAGCTCCCATACAAGGTCCCTTCACGAAAATCACTTAAACGCACATAACTCATTACTAAATTAAGATATCCATATAAAGTTTGGCAGAAGTATTGCTCATGTTAAGAGAAAATTACTGTGAAATTGTTTTCCTATCGGTCCATAATTGATCACAGCTGCTATACAAAGACCCTTTCAGAAAAACACTTAAAGGCACATAACTCATTACCAAATAGTGATATCCTCATTACTAAATAGTGATATCCTCATTACCAAATAGTGATATTCACGATCGGTTCATAACATGGGTGAGTTCGGTCCCATTATTATTACTAAATTACGATAAAGATACAAAATTTGACTGAAATATAGCTGTTATGTACAGAAATTTACCTTAAAGAATTTTTTTACGATCGGTCTATATTTGGTCATATCTCCCATACTAGGTCCAGCCCCTAAAAGCGCCGTAGTTAACTAGTTGCATTATCAATTTGTATAGAACAAAATTATATATGTATATATGTGTTTTGAAAATCCTTAAATCTTTCACACACATGCATACATGCAAATTACTAAATATTGCTAAAGCATATCTTAGGGCGCTACAAAAATATAAAAGAAAATGGCGTTTGTAATGTTCAAAAAATCTTGGAATTGTAATATGTTTAAATCTTGGGATTTTTCTATTTTATATACTTTTCTAGACAATTAGAAAAGTATTAATATTAAAGTAGCTGGTGGAGGGTATTTAAGATTCGGCTCAGCCGAATATAGCACTCTAACTTGTTAAAGATTAATATTTTGTTAGTTCAAAAGAGCTCGGTCCATAATTGACTCAAGCCCTATTCCAAATATCACCCTGATGTTTATAGAGGAGCATTCCTTTTACGGCATACGGTTTGATAGTGGGTAGATGAGATTCCGCACAGCCGAATATAACACTCTCACTTATTTTTTTATAATAATTGAAGCGTTGGTATAATTTGCGTTTCTATCACACTTTTAATAAACGATTGTATTTTTACAATCATTAATTTTTAATAATATTCTTTTATTCAAAATTTAATATTTACATACTTCAATATTTTATTAATAAATTATTTTTTAGCTGCAATAGAGCATATTTATCAACTACAAGTTGTTTCAATAACTTTTTCAATATTTTTCATTTTAGTTGATAAGAAAACAGTTAATAATTTTCAGCATACTTGTTTAAAAATAATGTTTATCTTGTTAAACTTGAATAAATCATAACATTTATGGCGACATATAATATGTATAAAAATATTTTTTTTTTCTACTTCAAACAATATCTATCTTTCTACTTTTAAGGTTAAAGTGCTGTTAATAAAAATTTGTAAGGTCCTTTACTGGTAATAATCTAACGAAACCTATTTAACAATGTTGTTTGCTTGTTACAAAACCAAACGCTTAGAGTATAAATAAAATGAAGAAAATAAAAGTCAATAAATTGTAAAAATTATCAAGGAACGATAAAATTCCATGCCAACATAATTTACTACTGTATCGCATCTTTTATAATTTCGAGGAAAACAAGATAAAATAAAGTATATAACTACTCTTACTGAAGATATGTGTGTAAGTACTTCTTTAAAATAACAAGGAAACACCATGTTTTGCTAGTGTTTGTTTATATATTTTATAAAGCACTTGTAAAGTTCGTTATAAGAAAGGACACTGTAAATAAATACATAAGCATGCTAACATGCATCAAAATGTGTGAAAAATAAGTATTCATACATACATACCTACATATATGTAGAAACCAACACAATTTTAACTTATACTTCACAGAGGATACAGTGAAGGTGAAATGTGTTAAGGTTTTGCTTTTTATCATTGATAAGATCGAAATAATTAAATTTTTGCATAATATTTTGTAGTGATAAAAAACGTTAATATTGAAAATGTTCCAACTCTAATAGCCAAACATTGTGGCCATTATTGCACCTATTTTTTTTTTTTTTAAATATAGGAAAATCTCTTTTGTATAATTTATTTGTTTGTTAAAATTATAAATAGCTTACACAGAGGGAAAAGGAAATATACACGCCTGGTACCAAATTGACACCAAAGAGTTTATAATTTGTCAATAACGTCCGTTGTCAAGGTATATATGTATATACGTACGACAACACTATGTAATGTTGACAACTCAACGTTGTCAACAAAATTTTATACACATCCGTTGTATAACTGTTAAAAAACGTGGTAAGCTCACTATTGGTAACAGATTGTTTGTCAATAGTGAGCTTACCACGTTTGTTAACATTTAGACAACGGATGTGAATAACATTTAGATTACGACAACGAATTGTTGCAATGTTGTCAACATTATATAATGTTGTCGTACGTATGTATATACTTTGACAACGGATGGTATTAAAAAATTATAAACAGTTTGGTGTCAATTTGGTACCAGGCGTGTATATTTCTTTTTCCCTCTGTGTATATATGCGAGAGATAACTAATAATTGATTGATAAAAATGAAGCAGGTAAACTTAATATCATAAAATTTTATCCAGCACTTTAGAAAGAAGATACACTTAAGAACTTTAAAAGTAAAAACTTACATACTCATACCCACATCTATACACATAAATAAGTGTATACAAGTATAAACAATAAGTAACAACCGGATACGGATGTACAACAAGCTAAAACCGTTATCAAAAGCATACGTAAGGAGTTTTATTCATTTTCAAGTTTCCTTTAGCAACATAACACACGGACTGATAGTCAGACAGACAGACATTCAGTCTGTCATTAAGACAGGCCTACATACAGGCAACCTACTTGCCAGCCCAAAAGCGCAAGGACAACATCGTAACTGTATGTTGTGT